CCTCCCTTTTGTACATTCCCTTATTTATTAGACCATGATTTAGTTATTAGGGTGAATTACTGGTGAGTAGAAAAGACTAGCCCCTGGACTTACCAGGTGAGAGTGTGAGAATCCTTAGGTGAGGCTTTTGTTCAGAAGAGACATGAGGCTTTATATAACTGTTAGGGGAGAGGAGGTTGACCCTGACTCTGAGAGAAGCAAAATGGAATTTCGGAGGAAACATACTTTCTCAAGGAAAGTAGTATTAGAGATCTTGGGCTGATGACTTAGGCCAGATAGATGTGTTCACACTACAGACTTCAGTGAGATGGATAATGTTGTTGCCTCAGTTACAGAGACAGTAAAAGAATAGTTTTTGTCATCGTGTGTGTATGTTGATAGTATTTGGACCCTATTTTGGTTTATTAATTTACTAATCTATGGATAATAGTAATAGATTCCCATGGGATTAAAAACCTTTTCAATATAAGAAAGTTAAACAGTAGAAACTTTCCCACCTCTAGCCCTCAGCCACCCTGTTCCTATTTACTGCATTCCTCCAACACTCCACTCTGTCCCGGAAACTATTTATTAGCCTCTTAGGGATTCTTCTAGAGTTTCTTTACATAAATAAAGGCAATAAAAGTACAGACACTTTTTTCTATCCAAAAAACTCACCAACTCCAAAGGTAGCGTACTATACCCATTGTTCTGCAGATTGGTCTTCTTACCCTCCCCTTTGTACATTCTGTTTTTTACTTAACAGTGGAGATCTTTACCAAAGACCTTTCCATAGAGTATATAGTTTTGTTTTGTTTTTTAACTTGTATGATTTCCCTTTGGATAATTTATTTAACCAATTCCCTGTTGGTAGACGTTTGGCTTGTTTCTGGTTTTTTATTATTGTAACAGTATTGCAGTGAACTACCTTGTACATATGGCATTTTGCCCATATGCAAGTATATAATTATGGAATAAATTCAGATGTGGTATTACTAATAAAAGGCCATATATCGTTGTAATTTTGATAGATTGCTAAATTGCCCTTATGTTTGGACCCTGACTCTCCCACCAATGAAAAGAGGTAATGTGTGTTTCTCTCCCCCTTCCCCAGCTTTATTGAGATTTAATTGACATATAACATCATGTAAATTTAAGGTGTACAGTGTAATGATTTGATACAGGTATATATTGCAAAATATTTACCACAATAAGGTTACATAAATCACATACTTACATTATGTTGTTGTTATGCTGGATGACGTATATTTCTTCACAGCCTTGCCAACAATGTACCATGGTAAACAGGTTGAAAATTGTGTAATTTTAATTTGAATTTTTCTAATGCGTGAGGTTGGGAGTCTGTCCATATTTTTAAGACTCCCCCCACGCCCCGTGTTCTGTGAACTTAACTATTTCATGGGGTTTTTGAAGCAGAAATTGTTATCCTTATTTATACTTTTTTTTTCTAATTCAAGTGTAACATATGTACAGCAGAGTGTATAAATCTTAAGGGTGTAGTGAGGTGGATTTTTTATAAGCCTCTGACACTCATTCTGGATGTTTTTTGGTGATTTTTACCAAAAGATGTCAACAAAGATTTCAGACTACAGCCAGGATATATATTCTTTTTTCAAATGGTCCTTACATGGTTTGTGTACTAAAATATTAAAGGTTGTAGTTGTCTTATTAGGACATCAGGAAAAAGAATCAAGTTCACATGAGGCATTCCTGCTACCTGATAGTGACTGTAAGATGCATTTCTATATCAAAGGTGTTAAAATGTGGAAAACAGGGCTTCCCTGGTGGCGCAGTGGTTGAGAGTCTGCCTGCCGATGCAGGGGACATGGGTTCGTGCCCCGGTCTGGGAAGATCCCACATGCCGCGGAGCGGCTGAGCCTGCGCGTCCGGAGCCTGTGCTCCGCAACAGTGAGAGGCCCGCGTACCGCAAAAAAAAAAAAAAAAAATGTGGAAAACACTTCATCTCAAAAATAATGAAATATGTTAGATAATGCCAGATTGATTTTTCCTTAGAGGTCATACTAATTTACACTGTCACCAGGAAGGTAAAATGTTTTGGTTATTCCACATAATCTCAAACAGTTGATACTGTCAGATCTTTTTGTCAGTCTAACAAATGCGATATAGTGGTTCACTGTGTTTTTTCTTTTAACTTTTTTCAGTGAAGTATAACACATACAGTAAATGGCAAAAAATCATCAATATATAGTATCATGATTTATCACAAAGTAAACAGATCCATGTAACCATCACCAAGAAGTAGAACACTGCCAGGAGACCAGAAACTCTGCTTTTGTATACCACCTCCCACCCCACTCACTTCTGCTTGCTTCCTTCCCAAGGGTAGTCACTATTCTGACAGCTAACACCCTAGAATTAGTTTTGCCCATTAGTTTTTGCCCTATATTGTGTCAAATTGGTTATTATTTTTTGCTTTCCTTTTCCCTTTTAAATAGATATTATTTTTTTAGAGCAGTTTTAGTTTTACAGTATAATGGAGCAGGAAGCACATAGAGTTCCCATTTATCCCAGCCCCCCCCCCACAGCCTCCTCAGCTGTCAACATCCTGTACCAGCAAATTGGTTATTTTTGAGTTGACTAATTACCTTACTTTTGGGAAAGTAAACAGTCTGATACACTTTGACATCATTCTAAAATTTGTTTTATAACATTGCTTTCACTTTAAAAGCATATTATTGACCTTATTTCAAAAGAAAAGAAGCCAAGACTAGAATTAAATTATTTGCTTCCTAGCCAAATTTTATTTTGAAGGTTCCAAATGAAAAAGATTTTCAACTTTAATAACAACAATCATGCTCTCCTTTGATTCCTGCTAATTTAATGAAACTTGAAGATTTTTCAGCCTTTTCTCCCTTTTTTTTAAACGTAAAATGTTCTAACCAGATGGTTGAAATTTTTTATTAAAATTTCTGACTTGGAGTATTACTGACAAATGTAAACAATTCCAGACTTGGCATGTGGCACAAGTTCCAGTCCAATTTGGTTTTTTAAAATTAATTAATTTGTTTGGCTGTGTTGGTCTTAGTTGCGGCACGTGGGAGGTGTGTGGGCTCTTTGTTGTGGTGAACGGGCAGCAGAGCATGCGGGCTCAGTAGTTGCAGCGCGCCGGCTTAGTTGCCCTGCGGCATGTGGGATCTTAGTTCCCTGACCAGGGATCCAACCCGCGTCCCCTGCATTGGAAAGGTGGATTCTTAACCACTGGACCACCAGGGAAGTCCCTCCAATCCAATCTGAGTGGGCTTGCCCAGAAATGAATTCAATGATAATGATTAGGACGCTACTATCACAAAGGTCATAAAGTCCTGAAATGTTGTTTGTGAAGAATGGGGCATAATGGCTGAGAGAAGAGAGCTGTGAGCTCACTGATCCTTGGAAAGCACTCATGAATTAGGGCTCAGATGAAAAGGCAAAGCCATAAAGTTTTATGAAGGCTATAGGATTTTCTCAGTGAACCAGAAAACTGACTCAAAAAATGATTGATATTTTTGACTACATTAAAATTAATGTCCATCTAAAAACACCGTAAGGAAGATGAAAAGATAAACCGCAAACTTGGGAGGAAAATTGTAATATATGTAATAGAGAATTAGTGTCCTGAACAGGGCCACCTTTATGGATGTACAACCTGTGCAGTCATACAGGGCCCCACACGTATTTTAACGCTAAGCTGTTACTGTCTTGAAATTAATTTTTGAATAAGTGGCCCTGCTTTTTTATTTTGTACTGGGCACTGCAAATTATGTAGCCAGTCCTGGTCCTGAATATACAAAGCATATTATTTCATAAGAAAAAGACAATCCAATAAAATTGCCTAAGAACTGTGAACAAAGGAATGCAGAAACAAACATGGATCATTAATAAACTTGTGAAAAGGTCTTCAACCTTATTAGATCTTCAACCTAATCAAGGACAAACAGATTACAGTGTGATGCCATTTTATGTGTTCTGTATTGCTACAAATTAAGAAATCTGACTCTACCAGGTATTGGAGAAGATGTGTTAGCGATTCATATACTGCTGGAGAATTGGTAAGGTGATTCAGTTGAAGACATGTTGGCATTTTTGGTAAACTTGGGAATTTGGATGTCCTATGTATAACTCACCAATTTTCCACTTCTAGGTTTAAAGCCTAACCCTTAAGAAATTCTTCTGTAAGTGTACCTGGAGACTTGTTTAGTAATGTTGATAAAAGCAAAAAACTAAACCATCCAAATGTTTGTCAACAGAGTAGATAAATACACTGTGGCATATTTATATAGTGAAATACCATATAGAGCAATGAAAATGTAACATGGATAAAGCTTAGAAAAATATTGAGTGAAAAAATTCAAGTCCCCGAAGACTTGGTATGCTGTGATAACTTAGCATACCAAGTTATCAAGCTGAAAAAGGGAGCAGGGGACACAGAACTAAACAAAATATTGTTTAATGACATAATACATATGTGACAAAGTATGTTTTAAAAAGTAGTGGAATAATAAATATTTAGGATAAAGGTTGGGAGGAGAGGAGCATGTAGGTAATGTTACTGATGTTCTTATGTGGCGTGGTGATTTACAATTTACAGTGTTCATCTTAATGCTTGCTTACATTCATCTTTCCATATATTTTGTGTGTGTCAAATATTACATTAAAGAAGAAAAGGGGGAAAATGAAATAAGCTACTCATGGTTAGCAGCTTATGATCCAGTTGGAGGAATGGGTTGGGAAATAGAAAGAAAACTAGCATATTACAGAAAAGTTTTCAAGAAAGAGGAGGTAATCTACATAAGAGAATCCAGATAGTTGCACAGGACGTCCACTTAACTCCCTTTCAGCTGTAATGTTCTGTAACTTAAATATTGTGGTTCATGTGTTTTCTATATTTTCCCCATATTTAAAAATACAGTTATAAGCAATTATGTCATATAAGTAGTAAAATTATTTTTAATTTAGTCCATTTAGGTGTTAATATCTTTTATCTTCACCCTTTTTGGCAGCGTATCTTCTAATCTGAAAAAGTCTTCCATGAAAACTTCACTTTTAAAAAATAAGTAATGCCATCTGTTTTCCTAAAAGACTGAAATGGGGGCTGTCATTTCAAGGTAAGTATCCAATTTCGTATCTTTAATTACTTATATCATTTTTTCAGAAGTTAAGTATAGAAGGAAGATGTGAATCTTGCTTAGATCCTAAATCTTTTAGTTATTCTGGGGTGGGGATGGGAAGGAAGTCCTAGGCCTTGTTTTAAGATATTCAGGTACTTAGGATTATGTTTACCACAGATTAAACACAACTTCATGAAGGAGAGAGGAGGGGTCAGTAGTGTTTAAAGCTTTTTAGAGAGGTTAATTGAAGATGGGGATTGAGGTTATCTACAAGGCAAATCGTTAATCAGTGGTGGGGTTGGGATTCTGGAAGGAGAAAACATTTAGGAAAAATGTTATAGGGTAATTTCCAACTTCAGCAGATATTCATTGAACACCTGCTTTGTGCCAGGTGTGTTTTTATTTATTTATTTTGTTGAGTTGGGTCTTAGTTGCAGCTCGCTGGCTCCTTAGTTGTGGCATGTAAACTCTTAGTTGCGGCATGCATGTGGGATCTAGTTCCCGGACCAGGGATTGAAGCCGGGCCGCCTGCATTGGGAGCGTGGAGTCTTAACCACTGCGCCACCAGGGAAGTCCTGATAAGTTTTCTCATGAAGCCGATCGTTGAAACGAACAATAAAAACACCAAATTGTAATGTGATCTGAGGAGGGCAGTTGATAAAGTGACTTACTGGCTACTTTTGAGGAGGTGACTTTAAGGTAAGGTATGAAAGACAAGGATTCAGTCACTTGAAAATAAAGCTAGCATGAAAATCTCAAGGTAGAAATGAGCTTGATGTATTTGAAGAATGGAAAGAAAGCCAGAGTTCTGGAACAGAGTGGATGAGAACCATAGAGTCATGAGATGAAGTTAAAGAAGTAGGCAGGGCCAGGCCATGTTGGTTCCTATGGACATGGTAAAGAGTTTAGACTCAAGGAAACCTTTTAAGGAAAGGTTTTACACAGAAAAGTCATGATATGTTACATGTTTTAAAGATTCCTCTGGCTGCTTTATTAAAGATGGGACTATAGGAGTACAGGAAAAGCAAGGAGATCAGTTAAGAGACTGTTAGAATTGACCAGGTCAGAGACCATGGTGGAGGAACTTAATATGATCACCAGGATAGGATAGAAAGGATTGTTGACCAATCATAAAGGCTAGTTCAACATAAACAACTTGACATGGCAGGCAGTGTGAATTTAGCTAGTGTAACCTTTAAGATGGAAATGAGAAATTTGGCATTGGTGGTTGGAATAACTGTCTATGGAGATATAGGCTTGGTAAAAGGTAATGCACAAGGGATTGGAGGCCATGATTGGTTCAACACATATTTATTGATAATATATTCACCTCCTAATATACCAAGAACTGTGCTAGCTGCTGGGGTTATAACAGTCAACAAAAACAGAGGCTCCTTTCTCATGGAATTGATGTTCTAATGAGGGTGGGGAAGATAAACAGTAAGTAAATATATACTGTGATGGATGGTAATCAGTACCATTAAAAATATATTAGGGAAATGTATTAGGGAAGGGTAGATATTGACAGGGGAAGGGTAGGCTTACTGTTTTATAAGGTGTGATTTAGGGAAACCCTCTCTAATTAGGTGACATTTGGGCTCACAGCTCTAAGTGAAGTTAAGGGAGTAGACCAGGTAGATATTTGGCTTAGGGGTGGGGGAGCTGAGGGTGGACTGTACTTGATGTGTTCTAGGAGCAGTAAGAGGGCCAGTGTGACTGAAATGGAGTAAGTGAGGCAGGAGGAAGTAGAAGCTGACATTGTGAAGGTAGAAGAGCTAGAGTCAGGTTGTAGACTTTGGGTTTTCTTCTTTTTGATGGTGGAGGTGCAGATCCAGGGATGAAGATACAGGAGGGGTGAAAGGCAAGGCTATGGCTGAGCAGTGTAGCTTGTGGCTAACTGTGAGGCCAGATGTTTGAAGTGTCTGAGGCAATGATAAGAGAAGGGGATGTACAATAAAACAGATTTTTTAATCCCACAGGGAAGTAGGAAGAGTAGAGAAAGGTGGATTGGATGCATGAAGGCCTTGTAGTTCCTGATAATTAAGTTTATTTTGATTTGGGTTTTTTAAAATTAATGAATTAATTTTAAAAAATATCTATCTATCTATCTGGCTATCTGGCTGCGCCGGGTCTTAGTTGCAGCATGCGGGATCTTTTACTTGCAGCATGCGGGATCTAGTTCCCCGATCAGGGATCGAACCCTGGCCCCCTGCATTTGGAGTGTGGAGTCTTAACCACTGGACCATCAGGGAAGTCCCTGGATTTGGGCTTTTTTTTTTTTGCGGTACGCGGGCCTCTCACTGATGCGCAGGCTCAGCAGCCATGGCTCACGGGCCCAGCCGCTCCTCAGCATGTGGGATCTTCCCAGACCGGGGCACGAACCCGTGTCCCCTGCATCGGCAGGCAGACTCCCAACCACTGCGCCACCAGGGAAGCCCCGGGCTTTTTAAAATTGTAAAATGTGCATAACAAAATTGACCAGTTTGACTTTATTTTTTTATGATAAGTTAACACTTGCTATACATGAATTAGGTAAGCTTCTTCATGCGTACAAAGCATCTGAATGTTCAGTTTCATCTGCACAGTATTGCTCACTTTTCTTTACTCAAAGCAGATATACGACTGAGATGGATTGAAAGAATAAGTTGACTCATTTCACATTGTCAAGGGGGCCTTCTCTTGCTGTTGCTTCTACCTGTAAATTGAGAAATGAAATACCCAAGAGTACTCCCTTTTAAAAAACTTTAATAAAAAGGGGATTTCCAAATCACATCATGATTGATTGAGAGATGGTGTCAGGAGTATAGAAGCAACACTCATGATCAGTTAAAGACCTTTCCCTGGGAATTCCCTGGCAGTCCAGTGGTTAGGACTCCGAGCTTTCACTGCCGAGGGCCCAGGTTCAAACCCTGGTGAGGGAACTAAGATCCCGCAAGCCACGTAGTGCAGCCAGAAAATAAAATAAAGACTTTTTCCTCTAAATTGAAAGAAGAGGTCTGGTTACTTTGCTCATTGACATTGAATACTAAGAAAAAAACCCCCACAGCTATAGAACTCCGAATTGTCTCTAAATCCAGTGTTCCTTAGCTGCCTAAAGCTAGTGAAGTAAAAATACATTAGCCTCACCCTTGACATTTTCAAATTTAACATATTCAAAGATCCTCTGTGATCTCCAAAACACATGATTCCAAATTGTGTCCCAGTAAAATGGCATTTATTACGAGTGCATCATGACAAGTACTCAGCATGAGTGAGCTTAAATAAATGTTAAGCATCTACAACTCTGTGTGACCTTATTGTTCTTATTTTGTCATCATATTTCATCCTATCAGTAACTTCCCTCTGAAATAAGTAATGAAGGAATTTTATAAATTTCATAAATGATGGAATCATTAAATTTGGGATATGTACAAATGTGGGCATTTGGAAAGAGCTCAATATGTTCTTCCTGAACATTGACCATTTTAACCGTTTTTATTTTTATTGTTTTTTACTTATTTTTTATTTTAATTTTTTGGCTGCATTGGGTCTTTGTTGCTGCGCACGGGCTTTCTCTAGTGGTGAGTGGGGGCTACTCTTTGTTGTAGTATGCGGGCTTCTCATTGCGGTGGCTTCTCTTGCTGCAGAGCACGGGCTCTAGGCACGCGGGCTTCAGTAGTTGTGGTTCGTGGGCTCTAGAGCACAGGCTCAGTAGTTGTGGCGCATGGGCTTAATTGCTCTGCAGCATGTGGGATCTTCCTGGACCAGGGATCAAACCCATGTCCCCTGCATTGACAGGCGGACTGTTTAACCACTGCGCCACCAGGGAAGTCCCTAACGGTTTTTAAATGTACAATTCCCTGGCATAAATATATTCACAGTGTTGTGCAACCATCGCCACTATCCCTCTCCACAACTTTTTTATCAGCCCAATCCCTGATAAACATTATTCTACTTTCTGTTTCTGTGAATTTGCCTATTCTGAGTAGCTCGTATAAGTGGAATCATACAATGTTTGTTCTTTCATGGCTGGTTTATTTCACTTAGCATAATGTCCTCAAGGTTCATCTGTGTTGTAGCATGTATCACAGTGTCCTTTTTAAGGCTGAATAATATTCCATTGTATGTACATACCATATTTTGTTTATCCGCCCATCTATTGAGGGAAATTTGAGTTGTTTCCACCTTATGGCTATTGTTAATAATACTGCTATGCACGTGGGTGTACAAATACCTGTGTGACTTCCTCCCTGCTTTTAATTCTTTTGGATATATACCCAGAAGTAGAATTGCTGGATCATTTGGTAGTTTTGTTTAAATATTTTAAGAACTGCTATATTTTCTTCCACAGTGGTTGCACCATTTTACATTCCCACCAATAACATACAAGGGTTATAATTCTCCACATCTTTGCCTGGATTTGGCTTATAGTTTGTTTTTGGTTTTGAACAGTGGAATGTTTTAAGTATATTTATTTCCTTAAAAGAAGGTTTATCTTAGATCATTTTCTAGTAGGTTTAGAATTAACACATCCTCATGCTCTGCTATAAGGTCAGAACTGGTAAAGAAAGTTGTCACCTGGTTAAATTTTAGTGAGAGATCCTCACAGGAATTAAAATTATGGACCCTTGAAAAGAATTCATTGCCAAAAACTTATGGTTATTCTGTCTATGTAACCTGGCTGTGGTGTTTAATGTACCAAGTACTTTCACTTGGCTTAGGAGAAAGCTATGTGTTTTGATTACTGGACAGGAATAACTATGATCTCCCAGGATAGGACAAGATGATTAAATGAGTTAGAATGCTTTTTTCCCCCCAAAGGATACACTTGAAAATTGGAAATTTTATAAGGAGGTGGAGAAATTTTCATCATGCTGTTGACTGACACACTGTCTGTGTAACAGTTGGGAAAAGACATTCCTTGTTCAGATGGATAATAGACTGATAAAAGTTACTAAGGGAAAAAAAAAGTGCTGATGGGATTACAGCTCCTGCAGAGAGGATTTTGAAGCTTTGTA